CAAGTTTTTTGAATGGTTAGTCATGATAACATCCGAAACTATGGCCACACCCCCCATACTGCCGTTCCCTTCATCTTGATGACGCTATTTTGCTAGCGCCATAACGCCATCATCCTCATCCGTGGCATGCACTGTGTCACCATCCGCCATGCATGTTGCCACTGCCGGACGTACCTCAGATTCCACACGCTGTACCAGGACCTCTGACGATAGTAACCAAGGGTTCCCGATTGGTCTTAGTCCCCTTGCCTGTCCGACACGCATCCATGTTCTGAAAGGGTAATGGTCGGGTGTAACGCCGAGTCCCGAGCTTTAAGACAAAACTTGTCCGAATGCCCTAACAAACCACAGAAAAAAGCAAAAGGTATGCAACCGTTCGTATTTGAAATTTACCCACCCCCATGATTTGTCACGGCGAATAAGCTTCATCCGTCTCTTGAGTGGATTATCAATGGGGATAGAAACACGGATACGATAGAAAGTTTTGTGAGGCCCCCCCAATTGTCGCTCATCACACTTGAGAAAAGTCCCCATAAAATTCCCTATCTGCTCTAGCACTAGTACCGTATTATAGCCAATCGGCAAATCATAAACCTGGACCCATAGATCAATCATGTCGAGGATGACATCCCCCGGTAATTGGCCGTCATTCAACTCTCTACAAACCAACGTACTGTTCTCAAAGGACCACGGCCCCTCGTCGAGAACTCTACGGATGTCCGTTTTGTGATGAAACACGAACTGGAAGAGATTAGGTTGTAGCTCTGTGATGTGCACCCTTCACCGGCTTCCAGGATGAAGCCATAACCTGTCGCATATATTCAAGTTTGATGAACCGCTGTATCAAAAACCGACCAATCAGAATCCACGATGCCGCGACTGCAGCCGCTGCTATGTCATCCATCGGCGCCGCCTTGACGTTGACGCCCTCATCCTCCATAACCATGTCTGCCCACCTCATCGATAGGCATGCAACTCCACTACTGCTTGACGATGCCATTGCTGCTATGTCGCTCTCCCCTTGTGCCGGAAACTGCTGTTGTATTCGGTGCAGTCGGAAGGCAAGAAAGCCAGAAACCCTATACGAGAAGGGAGGTGATGGAGAGAAAACCCTGGCGAGAGGGAAAAAAAGTGGGGGAACATGATATTCTAATTCCATGAAAATGAGAGAATTGCAATTCTGCGAAATTGGAATTCCTCCAATCAAACGAAGGAATTTGCTTGATTTAGGAATTATATGTGGTTGTTATATCATGCACCACGGTGCATGATCAATCATGCACCGCGCGTCAGACACTACAGTGTGTCTAAACCGACACTGTCTCACGTATTATTTTTATATTATCAAATGAAACTACAGTTATATCAAAATGATACTGTAGTTGTGGTGAAATGAAACTACAATATATATAAAATGAAACTGAATAACATTTCACATATTTGAGTGTATATTGTACAATGAAGCTGTAATTATATTGAAATGATCATGTAGTTGTGTTTTAATGAAATTATAGGTATTTAAAATAAAATTAAATAACATTTTCACATATTTGAGTGTATAAATATTGAATGAAACTGTAGTTATATCGAAATGAAACTATAGTTGTGTTGAACTGAAACTGCAGTGTATACAAAATGAAACTGAAGAATAGAATTATTTTTTGCGAAAATTCTGTTTCTTTTCATTAAATAAAACGACGTCGGTTTAAACACACTGTAGTGTATGACGCGGGTGCATGATTGATCATGCACCGTGATGCATGATATAATTTGCCAATTATATGGGAACTATGTGGGAATGAAATTGTAATTTCCTCTAACTAAACGTCCTGTTAGAGGTGACTACAATTCATAGAGAGGATTAGTCGTTATGTGCCATGGTAGATACCTTGGGTACGTTACACCCAAAATAAAATTTAAAAACTTAAGTTTGAAAATTAAAAATATGACGCTAGATTGTTAAAATTAAAAATATGATGCTAGATTGTTAATTTGTTAGAAAATATGATATTAGTTGTTAGAAAATTATATGTTATATGTCTAGGTTGATCCGTTGATATTAAATTGTTTGAAAATATGTGATTTGCAGTTTTTTTTTTTTTTTTTTTTTTGGTAGAGGATTTGCAGTTTAGTTATATAGAAAAATACTTCAAAATATGAGAGATTATAAATCATTACTATAATTTCGCATGATTATTAAATAATGTATTTTAATATATGTATTTTGTAAGTTTTTTTTTTTTTTTTGAATGTTACTAAGCTCTATTACATTGTAGTATCTGTTCATATACTTTCTCAACCTACTGAAACACAAAGAGCCAATAACGCCTCCACTGAGGCTTGAACTCACAACCTTCCAAATGGAAGTCCAACCCGGATACCATTAGACCATATAGTCCTGGTATATGTATTTTGTAAGTAACCTAGCTATTTTTGATTAATAACAATATACTCTATTAAAATGCATTTTGACCTTTGAGAAAAAATTCAGGCTTCTCCACTAACTAGAAGTAGTACATTACTTGAATTATTTTCATTTTTGTTCTCACAATTAGCTAGTATGTTATTTCTACTTGAATTAAAATCCCTCACATAGGTGCATTAAAAGAAGGGATATATTAACATGTTCATGTAAACTCCCTCTTTGTAACCTACTAATTTTATTATTAATATGGTGTATTTTTTGTTAGAAGAGCGCTCATATGCGGCGGGGTCTTACGGTGCGGCGGTGCGGTCAAATTACAGAATACACCAACAGTGTTAACAATATGCACCAACAATGTAATAAAAACACACCCCAATGAAATGTAATAAAACATCACAAAATACACCACAGACTCAAAAAACACACCATATAACTCACCACCCCCAATGGTGTATTTCCGAACAGTGTATGGTGTTTTTACTCACACCTAATGGTGTGTGTTTGGTGATGCAGGGCTCTGTTTTGTGTGGTGTATTTCCTAACGTTGATGGTGCATATTTGGTGAACTATTGGTGTTGCCGCACCGTAAGAAATAACCGCACCGTAAGACACTGCCGCACCTGAGCCCGCCTCTCTATATATATATATATATATATATATATATATATATATATATATATATATATATATATATATATATATATATATATATATATATATATATATATATACTGCACAAATCACAAAAGAGAGGTAAATTGCATTAAGAACACCATGTTCAACGCGCTCAACCAAGAGGATGTTGTCAGGAAATGAACTTGTGACCTTCACGTACAAGAATTATATTCTACTCACTCAGCTATCCTTTCGAAAGTAGTGATATTTACTTCTCCCAAAAGGTTGAATCTCCAACCTCAAGAGTCGCCCACATCCCAGTCAGACAGAACATTTGAGAGAATATAAATTAAGGTGACTCAATAATTCAGACAGTGCCAAATGTCGGTAAGTACAAGGAGTAAAAATATTTACTTGATTCTATGATAAGGAGATGATCACACGACAAGGTTATCTTGGTTTGGCCCTACACAATATATTATACAAATGTGGGTGCCTTTCCTTAGATTCCAAAGCCTACACATCTTACACACACATTATATTAATCAGAATAATTGTGTACCTTAAGAACAATTATATTGCACCTTTCACTTTAGTATATAATTTCCCTTTTGCCAAGGCTTCCCTTTCCATCCACATCAACCATTGATTCTGCCACCCCACCCCGCCCTCACCCCATGTACTATACAAATGTTTTAATTTGGTGCTTATTACTTTCTAATATGTATATATTTAAGAGTATTTTGGTCATATGTATTAAATAATTTTAAAATATGAAAGAAAATAAATGATTTATTTTAAATATTCTCTTTATTTATTTATTTTAAAAGTATAGTGACACACCAATAGAAGATACGAATGCCTTGTTTTATATATATCTCAAAATTAAAGCATATTCATTGGCTCATATACGTTATAGCCCCTTACCATTTGTCACCCTCAATAGTGTCCGTACATGTACTGTAAATCACTAAATCCCTTTGATGATACTCACGACTAAAGGTATAGTATAATTAAAAACAAATAACTTTTTCAAGGAACAAGGGTCAAATTAATCATCAAACAAAATATGAAAATACAATTTCACCATTCAATTGAAAAAAAAAAAAAAAAAAAAAAAAAAAAAAAAGACACTAGCGAGACAATTGTTTGGTGGATGATTTTGCGTCTAAATGTGCACAGCGCATGTCACTTTTTAAGTAAAAAATTTTAGATGTATTTTTTATATAATATTTATATTTTGACACAATTTATTTTGAAAAACTATTATGTAACTATAAGAATTACTTAAAAAAGGGTCTAAATTGAAATTAAATATCGCACAAGACACTTATTACCCTTATTTTTATTGTTAACGGAGCGCGCATTTTTTGGTGTGTTAATTACCAACTGAAACTACAGTGTATCTAAACCGATATTGCTTCACATATTATTTTATATATTATCAAATTAAACTGCAATTATTTCAAAATGATATTATAGTTGTGGTGAAATGAAACTGCAGTTTATATAAATGAAACTGAATAACATTTCACATATTTGAGTGTAAATTGTGCAATGAAGCTGTAATTATATCGAAATGATCATGTAGTTGTGTTTTAATGAAACTATAGTGTATATAAAATCAAATTAAATAAAATTTTCACAAATTTGAGTGCAAAAATGTCAAATGAAACTGTAGTTATATCGAAATGAAACTGTAATTGTGTGGAACTGAAATTGTTGTGTATATAAAATGAAACTGAATAACAGAGTTACTTTTTGTGGAACGGCGCAAAACAGGTGCCGTTTCTTTCATTAAACAAAACGACGCCACTTTGAAGTTCGATGGATAATCAATTATGTACAGCGGCACGATATAATTTGTCACCTAGTTCAAATGAAAATACTTTTATTCATCACGTGATTACCTCAATAGCAAAATTAGTAAATAAAAAAAAAGGAAAAAAAAAACATATCAGAGATGAAATGCATTATGCATGGACTTTTGAAAATGGCTCCGACTGCAAGTACTGCCGCCGTTTTTTATTACACGAGAAATCGAAAAACAAAAAGTCATATATTCGTTCTTACACGTGGCTAAATCTTATGCATCCAAATCACACCAAAAAGTTCAATTCCCTCCCACCTTCGCTGGCCGGAGGACCAAACGGTCAAAGTCTCTCAAAACCCCAAACGTATACTCCCAAGCTTAATTACTATCCAAAATTATTGGACCCACCATACCACTATATATATAGATGCACACAAGTTTTGCATATTCTCACAGAAAGAGGATTCTCATTAGAACATCACCATATATATATATATATATATTAGTGGGTGGCTGTGGCGACGGCAGTGGCGGCAGAGGCTGTTCCGAGAACGGAAGAGGCGGTGAGGACGGAATTTGGAGAGGTGGGAGGAGCCAGGAAAGTGGTGGTGGTCCCTTGGCAAATGAAGTCGTGGACGATCATAGTGCTCGGGGCGGCCACCAATCTCTCCCAAGCCTCGTAAGCTTCGGCCCCAGAACCGCCACGTTTTTGGAACGCCTCCGTGGCGTCAAGGCGGTGAACAATATTCCAGCCCTCCAATTGGGATTGGAGTCTCAGAATATTTTGCAGCTGGCAACTAGCCAATTTGCAAGTGTTGGCTTTTATGTTGTCAATGCCCGTTTGGAGGACCTCTTGCCTCATCCTCTCATCGCTGGCCTCCAAGATTCTGAAGTATTGGTCCATTTCTGGGACCCCGATTGCACGTTTGATCCCACGAGTATAGTCCCCTGCCGGGTCGAAGAACTCCCGGGCTTCCTCTATCAACCCTTCCTCCACCATCTTCTCCACCCGGTCCGACACGAACTCGTACAGGACCGGCATTTCCACGTCGATCCACAGGAAGCAGCACTCGTACTTGGACCGGAACTCCGCGTGGTCTTTCACCAGGGCCTTGATGTAAGAATTAGACCCGCCCGCGATGATCGGGAGGCGGTCCTTTCGGGTGATGGCGTCCACCGCCTGCAGCGCCTGCCGGCAAAAATCAGCCGCCGTGAAGTCCACATTCGGGTCCACCACGCCGAGCAGGTGGTGCGGCACGCCTTGGCACTCCTCCTCCCTCACCTTGTTGGTTACTATGTCGAGGCCTTTGTATACTTGCATTTTGTCGGAGTTCACCACCTCCGCCACGAAACGGGTGGCGAGGTCGATGGCTAGCCGGGACTTCCCCGTCCCGGTGGCGCCCATCACGAACACCACCTTGTCCTTCCGCCACCGGCTGCTAATATTCAGCCCGCTGGGGAAACTCACCATGGGCTGCGTTTGTTTGCAGAAACAACACGACATCATTATCCTCGTACTCTACGAATTTTAATTAGCACGTAACTATCAGCAACTTAAACCAGCTGTTAACTGAAAATTTTAATCAGAAATTAAAACTAAATAAGATAAGAGAGTCTTATAAATCTATGTCTTTTTTTCTTTTCCCTTTTTTGGTTTTTTTTTTTTTTTTTTTTTTTTTTTTGGAGGGGTGTGTTTTGAATACAGAGAGAAGAGACAAAATGAAACTCTTACTTAAACTTGACCTGCACACGGCAGTGAAGTGGAACGCAGGTATTTATTGAGCGTGAAAAGCTAAAAAGACGATCCGTTGTAGACTATAGTATTGCCACATGGGGTATATATTTTCATTAAAAAAATATTATAAAGAAAAACTTTCAGCTATGCTATCATTTCATTCCACAAATTAACAATATTATAATCACTGGATTTTTTTAATGCTGCCACTATTTCTTATTTTAGGGGTGTATTCAATCACAATTTTTATAGACTTTTAAAGATTTTTAAAATGATAAATTTTAATAAACTTTGATTGACTTCGAATCGTTCAAAATTTTTTAAAATCTTTGTAAAGCTCTATAAAAGTCTATAAAAAAAATATTTATAAACTTTTATCAATTTTTTATTTTAAAAAGTCTACAAAACTCATTGAAATTTTAAATTGAATACATCCTTACAAACTTTCAATGATTTCAATTCTAATCTTATCATTTATATGTTAGAAAGAAATGAACCAAGTCAATTTAATTTGCATCCCTTGCACACTAAAGAAAACTTCTATACTATACAATTCAATGAATTTTAGAAAGACTCTTGTATAAATAGTAGTGCAAATCCACTTTCCAAACCAATGTTGGACAAAAGCTTTTTCTTTTTCCCTTCATTTTTTCAACTCAATGGGTCTACTTTGAGAATCAATATCTCATTCACCCATTATCCATTTTGAGCGTCTAATATATCAATCTCTCCGTCTCACTACGAAGAACCCGAATCCACTTTCATCCGACCCAAAATAAAAGTGGACCCCACTAATAATTATACTACAAAATACACTTAAAATGTCATTTTAATACTATTTTTCCAACATTATAATTTTCTTACAAAACATGTTATAATATATCATAAAATTCTTCTTATTATATAATTGTTCACCCAGATCAACATTCTCAACATTATTATTTTGATCCATAGTATGGTGAAATTTATATGATTAATATATTAATTGATTAAATAATCTAATATAAGTTCCGAGAATTTACTATATGATAGTGAGAAACTTTGCTTCATTTAGCAACGGTAGCCAGGAGTGTGCAGGGGTCGAATTCTATTCACCACTAAAAAAAAAAAAAAGGAAAGATTATAGGTTTAGTTTTGTTGTGTCACTAGTATTTGGAGACCTGAAAGTATGACTTTTAACGAAACAAACATAAATGAACAGAGGTTGTTCGTGTTCATTCGTTTGTTAAGTTAAAGTTTTTGGAGTGTTCGTGTTCTTGTTCAGGTTTTTGAAAATATTGTTCGTGTTTGATTATTAAGTGTTCATTAGTGTGTATTAACGTCCGCAAACATGTTTACGAACATGTTCATTAATATTAATGAACAAGTTCATGAATATGTTCGTTCACGTTCATAAACACATTCGTGAATTCTTAATAACCAAACATATGAACATGTTCATGATCACAATTCGTTCGTGAACAAGAAATAATATATGAAGGAACAGAAACGAGATTGTTCGCGAACATTATAAAGGAACACTAAACGAGATTGTTCGCGAACATTATTAAACGAACACAAACGAGCTTGTTCACTATCTCTTAGCAAACGAGCTTACAATTGTTCAGACTCTGTTCGTTTATAAACTGAGCTCTAAATTTTATTTGTTAATGTTCATTTACGAACATAAACGAACGTTTACCAAACACGAATACGAGTAGTTTATCGAAAGCTCTGTCCGCTAGCACCCCTACCTTAAAGTCAATTGATTACACACACCCCACGATTTACTTTTTCCACAAATGAGAGACCTTCAGGTTTGGATTCAAACTTACTATTTCTTATTAGAGGTATTATAGTTTTTTTTATTTCTTTTTTTTAGGTAAGAAAAACAGTCATAGTTGAATATAATTATTTTTTAAAAAAATTTTAAGCTGTCGGCACACTGTTATGCCTAGCTAGTATTACACCCAAAGTGGATTGTGAAAGCTCTTAATTTATAGCAGGTATAAGTCAACATCTCCCCCATACGTTTTTAATTACGTACATTAAATTTGTGTAAAAGGACATGGTGTTGATCGGAGCTATAACCTTTCTTAATTATTTTTTTCTAATTTAAAAATATAACATGATGATGGGAACCCAATCTAACTTGCTGTTAGACTTTGACACCTCTGTTTAGTATACCCTAAACTTCGACGAAGTCAAAGGAGCTGAGGCAAAGAACTCACGTCTAAAGATCAACCATAGCACTCTACACGTGAAAAGTATATGTAATATATATATATATATATATATATATATATATATATATATATATATATATATATATATATAGTCATATAGAATCGCACTCAGGTGCGAATGCTTCGCCCAGGAGCGAAATAAGAATGAATTTTGTCTGTCCATGTGTCCAGATTTAATGGATGAGAAACATTGATTTTTTTTAAAAGTGCGGTGGCATTTTTGTAAATAATTGAACATCGAAGTGCAAGTAAAATGTATTACAAGTGCATGTAAAATGTATTATAGGTGCAAGTAAAAATTTACGCTGAGCATCAATACTAAGTGCACCTATAGTTATAAGTAGTTGCACCTATAGTTCTATAGTTGCACATATAGTTATAAGTAGTTGCACCTAGGTGCATGAATGTTGCGGGTGGTTTTCAGGGGTATTACTACCCGCTGAACTCAGATCAATGAATGTTAACAAGGCAAAATTATATGCACTTATAGGTGAAAGTAGGTGCACCTATAGTTATAAGTAGTTGCACCTATAGTTATAAATAGTTGCACCTATAGTTATAAGCACACCCAGGTGCATGAATGTTTGCGGGAAGTGAATGCTAACATCGCAAAATTACATGCACTTATAGGTTGAAAGTAGGTGCACTTGTAAGTGATTTTACTTGCACTTCGATGTTCAATTATTTACGAAAATACCACCGCGTTTTTTGTAAGCTATTAGATCTGGACACGTGTCACGCACTGATTCGTTCGTATATTCCTTCCTGGGTACTTATTCGCACCTGAGTGCATCCCTATATGTGTGTGTGTGTGTATATATATATATATATATATATATATATATATATATATATATATATATATATATATATATATATATGTATATATATATATTTTGTTAGGAATATAGCAAAATAATGCGGAAGCGAAGAATCAAAAATTGAGAAATATAGATATATATATATATATATTAACCTCACAAAGAGTAAAGGAAAATAAATACATATATATGTATTCTACGTATGGAGACAAAGGAAGGAAGAAGTAATGAATTCAATGAAATTGATGTTGTAATGAGTGCGAATTACAAAGTAAATATACTAGTCCATTTATACAATTCAAAAGGAGTGAAATTTGCGCATAATAGGAAAACATGCAATGTAGTGCGGCTGTTGCATGGCGTGAAGACCCACAACCAGCGAAGACGTGCATGAAAGGTCGGTATGACAAAGTCTACAATGAATTTGAGCCACAAATTAATTATTTCCTAACAATCTTCACCTTGGATCAAATCCATTGTGGAATTAACAACTGGATCAGTCGACTAAACTCAAGCACTGCTTGAACTTAACAATAGAAAGAGCCTCAAAATAGTAGGATGGATCACCATCAACCTCCTATGCGACTGAAAGTGCATAAGCAACCATGTTGGTTTCATCATCACTAGCATACCTAGCAGGTTTTTTAATTGTCCTCCTAGGATGATCCATAGCAATGGAATACTCTCGTTGTGGCTCGACGAGAGGTGCGATGCTAGTAGATGCATCATCTTTAGTATTACCATTAGTCGTAGTAATACTGTCATTAGGACCAAACTCAAACTCCACCTTCTCACTAGTACTTTGCGTCTCACTTGTACTGGGAACTTTTTCAGAAGAAAGTAGTGCATTTTTGTCAAAAGTGATATCTCGACTCAGATCAGAATGACTTTCTGAGAATCAGGAGACCATACACGATACCCTTTTGACTCAGAAACATAACCAAGGAAAATGCATTTGATAGCTCGAGCGTTTAATTTACCCGTACTGGAATGAGCATAGGCAAGACATCCAAAAACTCTTAAAATAGAGTAGTCAACAGGATTACCTAACCAAACTTCCTCTGGAATTTTGAAATCAAGGGACGAATGTGGAGATCTATTTACCAAATAGCAAGCAGTAGAAACGGCCTCGGCCCAAAAATCACGCCGTTTCCATAACCCAGCATTAGAGAGCATACAACGAGCTCTTTCCAATAGAGTCATGTTCATACGTTCAGCAACACCATTCTGCTGGGGTTTACCACGCAAGATCTTGTGCCTGGCGATTCCATTTGCCGCACAAAAGTCATTGAAATCTGACTCACAGAACTCCAAGCCATTGTCTGTCCTAAGCTTCTTGACTTTTTTCACTAAGTCTCAACAAGTATTTTCCACTTCTTGAAAATAAAAAATGCTTGATTTTTATGTTTCAGGAAATAGACCCAGACTTTATGAGAAAAGTCATCAATAATAGACATAAAATATCTACAACATCCCACACACTGGAATTTAGTCGGTCCCCATAAATCGGAATATATGTATTCCAATACATCTTTGGTACGGTGTGTAGCAATATAGAAACTAACCCTCTTTTGTTTCCCAAAAATACAATGCTCACAGAATTGTAGTTTACCCGTACCTAAACCACCAAGGAGGTTTTTCTTGCTCAGGAGATGCATGCCTTTCTCACTCATATGCCCCAGAGGCATATGCCATAATTGAGTGAGATCCGCATCAGACATCGATGAGGATACCGCTACTGAACCTGTCACAGTACTGCCATGCAAGACGTACAAGCTTCCAGAACGAGAAGCTTTCATGATAACAAGAGAGCTTTTTATGACTTTCAGAACTC